GAAACTGACTTCTGAGAGTGATACTTAGTGTTTTGGCAAGGAAATTCCAGTTGATACAACCCTTCCTTAAGCTTCCCTTATAGAACTATTTCCCTCGTTAGCTTGTCCTTAATAAAACAGCAATTAGAATGAAACTCCATATAAACTTGATTATCAGATGTTAACTGTGATACACTGATAAGATTTTTCTTGATCCCAGGTACATGCAGCAGTTTATTTAGCACAAGTGATTTATCATTCAAAGTTGGGATGTGTGTGATGCCAAAGTGCGAAATATATAACTTGTTTCCATTACCAACCATTATTTTCTCCTTACCAGTATATTCGTTGACTGAAGCTATGTTTCTCTTCGCAGTAGTGATATGATTACTGGCTCCTGTATCAGCAAACCAAGCTGGATCATTCACAGTGCTAGGGGATGCCACAAAGGCTGTTGGTAAAGGGCTATAGTTGTTTCTCTGATTTAGTGGTATTCATGTGTACCTAGAGATGGCAATCGGGCTCGTCGGCTGGGGTCGCCCGTGACTCGGTTCAAGAAAAGCCCGAGCCGACCCGTGAGCTCGCGAACTTTTTTTTTTAAAAAAAACTTAAAATTTGAGGCTACCTTTGCTGCCTTTTTGGGAAAAAAAGGGGGGGAGAAAACGAGCCTGTCCGGCTCGACCCGAAAAAAAAGCCCGAGCAAAAGCTCGGGCCGAGCCTATTTTTTTTTATCGAGCTTTTGCTTGGCCCAGCTTGAGCCGGCAAAAAAGCTTAGTCATTTTAATCGGGCCGAGCCCGAGCCGAAACTTTAGGCTCGCGAGCCAGCTCGGCCCGACTCATTTACATCCCTATGTGCACCACTCATCATATCTGAAATTCCAAATGTTAGCCTTATGTCCAATCTTACCACATACTTAACATACAAGTAAGGGTGTCAAAAAGGCTCGGGCGGCCCGCGACCCGACTCGAAAAAAGCCCGAGTCGACCCAGCTCATGGCTTGGAGCAATAGAGCCCCATTTTGGGGACACGGGCCGAGCCCGAGCCAACCCATGAGCTTTTATTTTAAAAAAAAAAGAAAAAGAAAAAGAAAAAGAGGTAACAAGGTAGAATTCTAAAATTGGTAGAAAAAAGAGCCTGCATGGCTCAGCCCGAAAAAGGCCGGCTCGAGCTCGTAAAAAGGCTCAACTATTTCAACCAAGCCGAGCTCGGGCCTAGAATTTTAGGCTTTACTCGTTGACATCCCTACATGCAAGTCTGTCACCTCCATTAAGGTTTCCAACGCCAGTAACACACCACAAAATATCAATCTCAACTCTTTTCCCATATTAGCCTCAAGCAGCATCATTGCTTCAATGCAAGGAATCAACCATAGCAACCAATCATTAATGAGCTAAGACAGAGACATAAACAAAGAGCAAGTAATCAGGTGCAGCATCCTATGACTACTGGGAGAAAGGCTGGAGTGTTTAAACCTAAGATTTATTTGGGGAAATCAATTGAATACAATCCTGAACCATCAGAACCTAAAAGTGTATATGAAACTCTGATACCAAGTTGGAAATAAAATGAATGTTGAAGGAAATTTTATGTATCTTGTATAGCTTCAGCTAGATAATTATTTATAGATATTACAAAGTATATGTAGAATATTCTAGAGTGTACAGCTGTAGTTAGATCATTGAATTACGGAAGATGTTGGGAATCTATCTACAACAGAATTTTTGTGGGTGAAACAGAAATGTGACAGCAAGAATGAGTAACTGGTGATTATGTGAATAGCTGGATGCTGATATGTATGTTAATTCTTAACACAGAGAAGAGGATAGAGAGATTAGGGGTTAAAAATCTGAAAGTTAGTGCTGCCAAGATTGAAATCTAAGCCTCACTCTAAAGAAGCACAATCCTAGACTCACTCCATCATCCAATAATACTGCCAACTAGACATCCAAATCCATCTCTTCTGGAATTACATTTATGCCATCGCATATGAATAAGGATGGTGACAAACAATCCAAAATAATAATATTAGAAAAAATAAACCAAGTATGGCCACTATAATAACAGAAACACAGTGTGAAGTGCTTTCGGGTGAGAGCATTCAATAGTCTTTTTGTCTGCATCATTTTCATCACACAAAATTAGAATATTCAACACATGTGATTCGCGTCTTAGACCTCCATCATTTTTCTTTTTCCTTGTGGCACATATTTTCAATCTTTCGAAAACTTGGCTGCGGAATTTATTGTCATTGTGTACACTAATTTTCCATTAGTCTTCATGTTTATGCCATCGTACATGATTTCATTATACTCTAATCCCTTAAAATTGGTAAAATATTATTTCCCCACTACTTTCTTTCTTTTCCTTGGAATTTGGGTCAAAAAACATGACAGTTATGTTGTTCATATGTAAATTCTCAACAGTTTAAATAAATAGTCAATCCTTTTGAACAAATGCAAAATAAACTTTGTTTAACATACGAATTTGGATTTCGTTCTTGATGTAACCGTTTTTATTAGAAATGGCAATTTGAACCGTCAAAATCGAAAATCGTAGTTAATCAAACCAAATGGTTCAAAAAACGGAAACGATAGCGTAATTGGGTGAATATGATATTTGATTTTAATGTCCCAGTTCGAGGCAAGACAGGTGTGGTATTTATGACGTCGTCCCGCCCCGAACTGATTATCCATTAAAAAAAATTAATTGGGTAATTGGACTTTCCATTATTCTTTCAATGATTCTGTCCAATCCAAAATTCTGGCCCATTAACGACCCGCTAAACCCAACTAACCTAACTCAGTAACCCTACACCCTATGACACAAATATTGAACATATATGGATATTGTTAGTTTATTTTGGATTTTGCATTTGGAAATTGGAATATTGTTTGCATTTTTATTTAGGATATTATTTGTTAAATTGGCCTAATATTGCGTTTTGCTTTTATAGATTTTTTTCGTAAATTATTTTTTTTCCAATTTGACAACTAAACTTATAAAAAATAATGTATTTTCGTGGTTACTAACCGCTCAAACCGAACCAACTTACGTGGTTATGGTGCGATTATGGTATGATCAAAAAATTGATAGTTCGATGGTGATTTTGACCGAATCGAATCGTTGCCAACCCTAGTTTTTATTGAATACTACCAAATAAGTCACTGGTTTTTATAAAAAAGAAAGAAAGACATTTAGGAGTTGCATTAAATACTATAATCAGATGATGAAAGCATTTGAATGAAAGTCTACGTTCAAGCTGTTGATCAACAAAATATATAAATAATGAAGGGTAATATAGTAATTTAAAACTCTTAGGCAGCCTCTGTCTGGCTTCTCATGTAACAAATTTCATTTGAATAATGCTATTTACAATCACTCATTGTCGCAGTCGTCCTACATAACATACATGTGAGAGTTATTGATTTGATATATGAAATAAGAAAATACAATTACATTAATACATCAAATCACAAACCGTCATGTAAAACGTCACATAGAACAACAATCGCTGTGAGTGACTATGAATAACATTACTCATTTTCTTTTTTGTAAAAGGCAGTCTATTCAACACGAAGTACTTTGATGCATTCAGTCAACCGAAAAATTACGTAAAGACCAAATATAGCCTCCAATCAAATTGCAGAAACAAAGTTGACAGGGCCACTTTCGGAATTTCATATCCTATGTTGACAAATTCGTAATGCCCGTCATAACACCAGCCGCTCAGATTATGCCATACAATCAGCAAGCATGACCTTTTCCAATATTTCCTTAATCAACACGTAACCTTAGTGCCATTCAACAAATGCTACTTAGAAAAATTATTTTTTCAATTCAAAGTATTGCATTTAGTCCAACAAATCTCCTATAAATGCTGTCTTTCCATGCTAGATTCACATATCCACCCAACAAAGTTAATTGGGAATACAGAAATTCTGCATTCTTTCTTTGTTCAAAAACAGATATATTTGCGAGTCTCAATGGAATTTAGGAGGGCATGCACTTTATTGATCATCCTCTTTATCGTTGTTTCTGTTGCTAATGAGGTTCGAGTCGAAGCAGCAAGAGTTTTATCAGAGGATATATCTGGATCAAATCACCTCGCTACCTTTCCAGCAATGTACGAGAATGCGAAATTCACCATGTCTTACTGGCTTGAAAGGTTACCATCTGGACCTAGCCCCAAAGGACCAGGCCATTAATTGAACATTGGAGGGCATTTCTTTCAATATAGAAGGAAGGATACTACAAGAAAATGTAGCAATGTGGCACCAGTGTGTGCTATGTAGGGAAGCCGTAAAAACACTTTATTTTCTATTTTTCTTCTTGCATTCTTTCTTTATTCCTTTGTTGGTTAATTACAAAGTTTTATACAATTTAAATACGTAAATGAAATAAATTCTATTTTTTATTAATTACTCTGTCTCCTATATATGTTACAATTAGTGCATGGTTTCACTGTAGATGTCGACTATATTGTTTAAGAAGGGCAAAATTTCCAGTTTTCGCCTCCAATCCCGAATTATTGGAATTTTTTTTCGTGTCGATGCAATGAATAAGTGTAGGCCCATTAAGCTTTCATGACAGTATACGATGTAGGTTATGATTACGTTCCATCTCCTCTAAGAGAAAATCCTAAATAGTTTTGGCTTGACGTCCCAACTAAGTCGTCACTATAGTTTGGAGAGTACTATAGGGGAAGATCTGGCCTAGGTGTGTGCATACCTTTCGTGACGAATCAGCGACACTTTGCCATTTGTACGCATTATGAAGAGGTAATACTTTATAGCTTTTTATATATATTTATGTTCTATTTCGATGTGCGTACCACGATTGAATCTAGAAATTCTAACAACGCATAGGAGAGATT